CTTTATGCTCAGTTTAGTTGTGAACCTATAACTGCTCTAAAAACAGTACATGTTTTTTTAAAAAAATTGTAATACTTCCTTTTGGCTCTAAAGTTATGTGATTATAAATATTTTTTAAAGAAAAAACAATTCTTATTTATTGGTCTTTAATATCAATTTTAATGTCCCATTTTTTCAGACTCCACACCAAGTAAACATTTTTTTTTCCTTTTTTTACTGACCAGCAACGGGATCGCAACCCTCGGTGTTGCGCCCGCACCACACTCAGCCAGTGAGTGGGAACCGGTCTCCACATGGGATCCGAACCCTCGGCGGGAGCGCCACTGGGCGCACTCTCCAGTGCGCCACCGGGCCAGCCCCAAGTAAACATTTTTTGATATTGCATTGCATTCTTTAAAAGTATTAGATTTCCTTTATAATCAAAAAAGGCAATTTACATATCTTCAGTATTTATATAAATCACAACACAGGTANAATAGACAGTCCTCAGCATCACTCTCTCCCACAAATCAACAATTTACAGCTATTAAAAAGCAATGAAAGCCAAGCTGGGGCCACTAGAGCTCAGGGGAAGAGGGGGAGAAACCTATGGAGTGCATGAAGTCAGGAGAGGCCATGATCAGAGAAAGAAAAAATCATTCCCACTATCTCGAATCCCAGCTGTTTCCAGGCTGGAGCTGCTGAGCACATGGAGTGAGAGCTTGCAAAAGCTGCAGCTGTGCCCTTCGTATGAAGTTGCTTGAAGGCAGCAGGGGAAAAGAGGGCGTTGGTGGCCCTCAGGCCAGCAAGACCACTAACAGGGTTCCTGTGGACCCACACAGGAATGATGAGCCACAAGAACTGAATAAAGGAGCCACTCAGAGGCCAGTAAGTCATCACAAGGAACTGGATCATGGTCAGTCCTATGGGAAGTGTTTGGAGCATGGGCAGTGGGGGAGACCAGACCACCTGGGGGAACACTGGGGCACAGCAGGGACAGCTGGTCTGCCCTCCAATCAGCACAGGCCCACTCTGCGCAGACTCATCAGGAACATAGAACTGCAGGGGGAGCAGTTTGCTGACAAGACTCAGGCCCAGACCAGAGTTTCTACACAATCCAGGTGTATCAGATCTCACCAGAGCCCGAAGTACCTATAAAGTCAACCATTATAACCTGATCTGCACAAAAAGCCTTCCTTAGGGAATCAGCAGCAAAGCAGCAATTTAACTCAACCACAGNCAAGTGCTATTGCTTCCATATCCGACTTGTTTTATTATTGCAGCCAGCTCATGTTGACTTTTCCCAAGTTTGCATTTTAGTGGCTATAAACTGATGATAAAGACTTCCATGCACCTGCAGTCAACTAGCATTTACTACCCTGTGCCAGGCCCCATGCTTAGCTGTGGGACCACACGGTGGGGACATAGTCCCTGCCTTTTAAGGGACAATCTCTGATAGGTGAGATTGTCAAAGAAAAGAATAAGCGTAAAACACGCCCTTACCACACGATCCAGCAATCATGCTCTATTCATAATTGCTGAAACGTGGAAGTGATCAAGATGTCCTTCAGTAGGGAAATGATAAATAAACTGTGGTACGTCCAGCCAACAGAATATCATCAAGTCGTGAAGATACATGGTTGAATCTTAAATGCGTGCTACTAAGTGAAAGAAGCCAGTCTGAAGAGGCTGCATACTGTATGACATTCTAAAAAACTCAAAACTATGGAGACAGCAAAAAGTCCAGTTGCTGCAAAAGGTTGAGCAGAGGGAAGGATGTATAGGCAGAGCACAGAGAAATTTTAAGGCACTGAATCTACTGTACGATGTTGTAGAGGTGAATACATGTCATTAATCATTCGTCAAAACACATGGAATGTCCAGCACCAGGAATGAATCCTGAAGTGAACTGTGGACTTTGGGTGATAATGATGTGTCACGTTAGGCGCACTGATTGTAACATACAAGTATGTGCCACTCTGCTGGGGGATGGTGATCCTGGGGAGGGCCGTGCATGTGTAGGGACAGGGGGTCTATGGCAGCTCTTGACTTTATGCTCAGTTTAGTTGTGAACCTATAACTGCTCTAAAAACAGTACATGTTTTTTTAAAAAAATTGTAATACTTCCTTTTGGCTCTAAAGTTATGTGATTATAAATATTTTTTAAAGAAAAAACAATTCTTATTTATTGGTCTTTAATATCAGTTTTAATGTCCCATTTTTTCAGACTCCACACCAAGTAAACATTTTTTTTTTTCCTTTTTTTACTGACCAGTAATGGGATCGCAACCCTCGGTGTTGCGTCCGCACCATGCTCAGCCAGTGAGTGGGAACCAGTCTCCACATGGGATCCGAACCCTCGGCGGGAGCACCACTGCGCTCCCAAGCGGCGCACTCTCCAGTGCGCCACCGGGCCAGCCCCAAGTAAACATTTTTTGATATTGCATTGCCTTCTTTAAAAGTATTAAATTTCTTTTATAATCAAAAAAGGCAATTTACATATCTTCAGTATTTATATAAATCACAACACAGGTA